GTGTGTGTGTGTGTGTGTGTGTGTGTGTGTGTGTGTGTGTGTGTGTACATAAGGGTGTGGGAGAAGGAGTGGGAGGCTGGGTGTCTGTCTTCTCTGTCACTCAGGCTGTCGCGCTTGTGCGGCTGACGTACTGGTGGCACAAACGCTGACCTGACCCCGTCAGCTAGCTCCGGGCTGCGTCCAGACACCGTTACGCTGTCAGACGCACTAAGCCTCACGGAAACATCCACACATCAGCAACACTTTGGCGTTTTAACACCCAATGTAGTTGACAATTTGTTGCATCAGTCACCTTCATCTTAGAGTGGATTTATTCTTGGCACGGGGGGTTAATGGCACAGCTGCTGCACGCGGTGTAGGTTATCATTTGTAAGTAGCACAGACACGGCCCTGGGCAGACAGTCCCCACCGCCACCGTGTTTGTATTCTTTCAGTCAATTGTGTGGCTCAGTGAGTGGGAGGGCTTCACTTGTCTAAATATTGAAAAGGAGACTGCCATCGTGCAGTCGTGTCTGCAGTGCAGATCGTCACTCATCATGATAGAGAGCGGTAATCACAGGGTAGCATGTTATGCCTCGTTTCTACATTGTTTCTCTGGGTGAACAGATATGTTTCCGTTTGAATCAATACATCTGTGTCAGTCATTTAACCATGATTGTAACCGCCTGTGGATCGTGCTTTTATTTACTTTATTTAGTGCCCTACACCCGATGATTGGGATGAGAACAGGGCAAATCATCCTGAAGATCACAAAAGACAGTTAAAGCAACGACTAACTCAGACGTACTACCTTAAAACCCTGACATTCAAGCTGCTTTAAATAACACAGGTGTTTTCACATTATAGTATAGCTGAAGAAGCCAAAAATGCACTAGTGCTGCTTGTTATTCCATTACAGTGGTCCCTCGCTATAACGATTCACTTTTCATTCAGCTTGTCAACTTTACATAAATCTTCCATCGCTAGCAGCATGAGTCTGAAGTGCTGTACAGTATGTAAGTTTTCTCCCCGACAAACACAACAATGTCGATGAAATGTTTTGCACCGTCAAGGGAAACCATGGGTGCCTTTGGTTTCATTCTATAATACTGGACTTATTTTTCTACGAAGGTTTGAACTTTGAGAGAAAAGTGTGAAAATGTTCCTGTCTGAGAAAAGTGTATAAAGTGTGCAGTGAGGGATTTTACAGCCTTAAAACATCTATAATAAATGTAAAAAATAATATAAGGTTGGCTACTTTGCCGATTTCACCTATCACCGGTTATTTTTAGAAAGTAACTCCTGCGATAAACGAGGGACCACTGTATATACAGAATTATTTTGTTCAATATTGAGATTACAATTGCTCATAGACCTAAAAATAATTCATAACAAGTACATTTATTAGAATTTAAGCAAAGAGAAGAAACTTGTCTTGTTAATTATGTGGATTTCTTCGTGTTTTATTTAGAATTCCCCTGAATAAATAAATCAGTGTGAACCTGCCACAGTCTGACAGGACGTGAACGGGAGTGGTAGAAGGAAATGAAGCTAAAAGGAAAAGTGGGGGAATTATTGCAAACCTGAGTACATAATGTAAAGCGTAATAATAGGATTCCTATTGAAGCTCCTGGCACACAGTTTTTGTGCTGATGTTAATGCCAGAGGAAGATTGTGGTTACTGAGTCTGTATTTAGTATTTAGCGACCCTCGCTCTCCATCTTTGTCTGCTGACACTTTGCGGCTGCGTTGCTGTGCAATCATACCACTTACAGGTGATCCTGAAATATCTAGGAGGGAAGACAAACTCTCCAGCTGCAGCAGTGCCATCCTATTACAGTACCATTCTCTGACCTCTTTAGAACGACCCTCAAAGACTTGGAAAGACAGACTGCATGACTGGGTGCTTGGTTTTATTCCCCGGTGGCAATGCGACTAAAAACACCTGAATTCAAATCTTAAGAGGTGTGGCTCAATACTTTTGTTAATATAGTAAGTAGCTACCATCAAAGCTTATTAAAAAGGGAGAAAATGGGTTCAATAAGTCAACAGAGAGCTGTGAAACAAAACTTGAGCAATACTTATCTGAAATTTAGACAAGTTGTAAGATTTAAACCCAAGTTCTTCTGCTTTCTTTCTGGAATGAGGGTTGGATTATCATCTTTGGTGTGTTTCTTCCTCATTTTACAGCCACATAAAGTTTGCGATGGACCAAATTTAAGCTGGACCCCAGAGCATCAAGTTTTGTCTTAGTCTATTGAGACTGCAGACCATGCTGTTCACTCAGTGCTGTGTATTAGCTAGCGGCCTCCAATATGGCTGCCGGAGGGTACATTACATCACCTGAGAGTGTGTTTTGGACTTTTCTGGCACACATGCATGCTTAGAAGCAGTAATGATGGTTATGCAAGCCTTATGTTCTGTGCTTCCTGCATATTTCATCATGATTTACAAAGAGAGCTCCAAATTTCGAGCGGTGCACTTTTTTATTCTCTTTGTAGTCTGCGAGTCAGTGTGCCCAACAACAAAAGGCATCTCTATTTCTTTGAATTCCCTCTGTAGCATTTCATGCTGATACTCTGCTCTGCATATTTTATCCAGCCTCTCCTGTGCAAACTGAAATTCCCACAGCAGGGCTGCAAACCAGAAGTTTTTTGGTTTGCAGCCCTGCTGTGCAATCTGAGAACACGTTCACTTCTGTATCACATTATTATCTATACAGTTTCCCCATTTTATGTGAGACTGCAGAGCACCTTTACAGATATTGTTCTCTGAATGGTCCAGCTGGTGTTTCCCCCCAGCTCATCTTCACCTTCTCCCTCCCCAGAGTACGACTCTGATCCTTTGGGTGCCTTTAATCGTGACTTGTCTCATCCAGCTGGTGTTTTGTGCCCGCTGCTTTGCTGTCTGCATTTCCTTTCTGGGTCTGCCTTGCTGTCCTACCAGGAAGAGACCCAGAGGCAGATCGGTGAGATTTTGACTCGGGCATCTATTGAACTCTACTGGCAGTCTGTGCACTATAACTAAAGCCATTTTTTGGTGTCTCTGTAGATTAATGCTGTGGTGCCAATCGAGAAAGGTGCTTCTCCTCACTATTCTAGACCTCCAAGTAGCTACAATGAACCTGCCCCTGGGCATACAGAGCCTCCAAGAACCTACAGCCAACCACCAAGAACCTACAGCCAACCACCAAGAACCTACAGCCAACCACCAAGAACCTACAGCCAACCATCAAGAAGGAGCACAGCAACTCCACAACGCCAGCACCGAACTCCCACCCCTCCACAGTATCTTCCTCGTCAGGACCACAGTCTTCCTCCCTCGGAGAGGCAACCTCTTCGCCAGCCACACAGAGTGAGATCAGACAGAGAAAGGCAAGTAACAAGAGCTGGAAGCCAGCAAATGGCGACGGAGCAACACCGGCTCTTGCAAAGGGGTGCGCTGGAAAGGTCCAGCTTCTGGATATAGCGTTATTTAACGCAGCAGATCTACTCGAAGAGCCAGAAAAAGTCTTATGAGGTTCCAGCTACAGTACTTGGAGTCAAACTTCATGCTCATAACCTGTCAGTACTTTAAAGCTCTGGCCTCAGATGAAGATGTTTCTTTAAGAGGAAGTGATCTATGAATATTCTGAGGCCCAGATTATTTCCCAGTTATGGGAATTTGTCAGTTCTCATTCTTGTCATCGTGTTGAACAAAATATGCACATCAGGAGGAGAGATGCTGCAAAGAGAGGACACAGTGCCAGGTCTGAATGGGATTATGAGAAATAGCTGGTCAGTTTGTTGTCAAGGGTTGGATGAATGATCCAATGCCGCTGTGATGTCAGCTGTTCGGACCTGTTTAAAACTCGATTCACACTTTCCCATTATAAAGCCATGAGGCAGGGCTAATCTGGAAGTTAGCGCTCTCCAACACTGAAATCTCTACCACAATTCAAAGCTCAGTATTTCACACACGCCAAAATGTGACCATAAATTGTTTTCATTTTGGGGTTTTTTGGTGGGTTCTTTTGCACAATGCCAACAGAATTGGAAGAACAAGATGAAAATATTCTTTATTCTGACTTTGTTGGGATGTAAATGAGCTGCTCTCCTGGTGTTACAATGCTTTTCCTCTTTTTGTTGAGGATAGAGTCTCAGGTTTGCCTAACAGGGTATGAGATGCATTTTGTTTTCTTCTTTTAGCTCAAGTCAAATTAGCACTGCACATGTTGTTTTTTTATTTCTTAAGTAAATAAAGTTTTTATTCAAGAAACCACACCATTGTTATGTGTTTTGTTTCTGAACTTTGGCACCAAAACATTTTTAGCACATGGTAACCCCAGCAGCTCGTGAGTGACCTGACAGGTAGGACTGGTTATGCATGACTTTTAGCCAGGTTGGTACAAACCATCTGCAGGTGCATGTCAAGAAGTGCCTGGAATATATATGTCATGTTTTAATTATATTACAGTTCAGCTGTCAGATCAGACACGATCTGCTCAAACATAAGGCTTGGGGACTAGAATTGGGCCACCACAGACTCCCAATTCGGTTGACTCGGCTGCTTTGGAAAAAAAGGAGAGAAAGGAATAAATGTTGGATTTTCTTTTTTTTTTTTGTACAATGGGTCTGCAAAAAAAGGCTATTTTATGTGAATTAACAAAAATCTTTCTGCTCCATAATTAGAGGACCGTCTGGGCAATGACCTACTTTTTTCTGCTGATTTTTTCCCCTTGTAATTTAAGCCCAAAGATTAATGCTAGCAGATGTTTTTCTTTAAAACTGCATTCTACATTTCTATATCATGTAGACAAAATGAGACATAATGTTAAAATTGGGCTTCTTATTCCTATATTAAGATAATTAAATGTTTTAATATGATAACAATGTCAGTGGTTTACAACTCTAAGCAGTTTCACAGAGTTTCATTGGTTTGATCCAGTTAAGACAAAAGCAGACTGTATGTCGACCCCTGTTTTAACGTTTTCCACACGTATCCAAAATGACCACAAATGAGGACGCAGTGCACACGTGCAGCTTAGAAACACATATATTTCGATTTCAGGTTCAACAGAATAAACATGACATCCTCAGATGAGGTTTTCATGCAACAGAAAAGTAGGAAGGAAGAAAGGAGGTTCGTATTTATCCAACACAAAGTACCAGTTTATCAGAGGCAGTGAGAATAGAAAAGGATTACACTGTAATAGATCAGAGAGTAGCAACTGTTGTTCTTTATCCTACCAGCAGAAGGCAGTGATACTAAAGGATCCCCAAAGCAGAGGTGCGGCTGGTTAGGAAGCTCCTGTGCGAGTGTTTGGTACTAGTTAAATGTCACATAGATGCAGCAGCACCAGGACGACTCTCAGCCCCCACTGCTACAGTAGTATTCAGTAAGTTAGCTAAATTCTGGCTAATGATGTCAAGATAAAATTGAAAGGAGACAACAACGTGTTGGCGTTCTGTCTGCAGAACACACCATTGAAACTAATATTACAGGCCAGAGGTGCCATGCTAACTTTGAATTAACAATAATCCTGATATTTAAAAATAAAATATCAATGTTGTTTGAGTATTTATGAATTCATGACTACATTCCTACCTCCTCCCTGCTGTGTTCATTAAAGAAGACAAAAAATTTGACCGAGAGCATTATTTTCTATAACTATTGAAATACCGTTGACGTGATTTTGTGTTTTGCTCATCACGACACCCATGATGACAAAATCCATCATGACAAACTGATATCCTTGAGTCCAACTTCCTTATGCGCCATATCCACATTTTCTGTTAGCTTTGTCCCATTGCTTCAATTTGAGTGTGTGTGTTTTACCTTGAAAACACAAGAGGGCAATAGTGATCTGACTATCGGGGCATTTAAGGCGTGATAAAGGAGAATGGTGCTGGCCGTGCTGCAACCAGTGACTACGTTTATTTCAGGTTCAGGTCTTCTTCACAACTGCATCTGGTCTTTTTAAAACCTCAACAACGCACAATACTTATTTGTCACTGATACAGGAGACAAGTTTATAATTTTAATTTTTTTAAAATATATTCAACATTCTTTCTGCTCTATAAATAAGATCAAACAGATCCAAATTAGAACACATTTCCGGACTCGCTGCAATCTTGTGAAACACGTCCCTTCATCTAACTGCTCTGCAAGCAGACTAATCCAGGAGGTTAAAAAATAATAATAATAAAAAAATCATTAAGCTAGAGAGTGATGAACAAGCCCTTAGTGAGTTCTCGGTCTGTCAGAGGAAAAGAGAGCGCGGGGGTAGGAGGCCTGTGCTATCCCAGAGCAAGACAAATATCGAATCATTTCTGCCTGGGGTCCATGCTGAGGAGGCTGAAGAGCTACAAAAAGTTACCGCTGTGCGTAAACTGTGTCTGTGGATTCTGTCGTCGCCGGGTTCGAAGGATCATGCAGTAGTATAGCGAACGGTTACAGCTATCTTAAGTTTACTGCTCATCGTTAAAGAACTTTAAAATACTTACAAATTAAGAAACAACACAACAAGATAATACTGTAAAAGTTAGCCTCAAGCATACAGTGTGTGTGTCCACATGCACGCACACGCATTCAGACCCAAATGCACAGCCATACTTTATATAAACAAATGGCGGCTCGACTGATATGTGCTACTGGTGTCATTGATCAAATGCAACAAATGGGATCCTGTTATTTTACAGGAATTCCTCCGCTCGAGTCCACAAAGAGGTCAATCTTGACTAGTCTTGTCTCTCTCTCTCTCTCCGTCACTGTAAACTGGAATTTGATCATCTCGATATTATCAAAGTAAAAGCGCAATAATGAGAATAAAAACTGAATAAATAAACCATGAAGGAGGAAAACAGTATGTACAAAAGGAAAATAAAAAGCATTTTAAATTAAAAAAAAAAAAAAAATCAAAGAAATCTGATGTACAAGCCCCGCCCCCATCCCACCCCCCTTAAACTGCCCATTCAGATGGACCACCAGGAAGCTACGCTACATAATACTGCCTTTCAATGGCAAAGAGTGTGCGCCCCTATATGAAGACAGATGCACTTTATCTTATGATATACAGGCGTACAGTATATACATGATGTACATCTACATGTGCATATGTGTAGGAGTAGGAACTGATTCCTCTCCCTGCGGAAAAAAGAAAAAAACAAACAAACATCCACACGCCGTCACAAGCTCCTTGGAAATCCAACACTCCAGAGAGAGAGAGACAGATATTATGGAACATTAGCAGGCGTCTCTGTCAGTCATACCTAGTCCCTTCATTCTCCCAAACATAAACGTAAAATGACAGTGACAACTTTCCTTATCCTCCTCTATCATCCTTGCACACAGTAACAACAACAACAGAAAGATATCAGAGACGAGAACCATCATGCATTGACTTGATTGACTGTTTCAATAGAGCAACAGAGCAAAGTTGTGGATAAAAAAAAAGAAGGTTGCAGTAGGGGCAGTTTTAGAACTGGGAGGCCGAGCTGGGGTCACACTGGAGTAGCCTAACGATGGAGGGGTCACTTTTGGCACCTTTGATAAACTCCTCCAGGGATAGCTTGCCTGCAGGAGAGACAGGGAGAGAAGAAGAACAAAAACAAAAGAAATGCTGTTATTAATTTGTGGATCTATCGCTTTATCACCTATTCAGGTTGTAAATCGTGTTTTTAAAAATTAACTAAGTAATTAATTACTTTTGAAAATAAGTAATCAGTAAAGTAACGGGATTACTTTTTTGGGGAAGTAATCAGTAATTAGTTACTGATTACTTTTTTCAAGTAACTTGACCAACACTGGTAATATGCTGAAAAAGAGTGAGCAAGGGAAGTATGATTAAGAAGTATCAGCTTCTGTACCTACACTGTTACTATAACTAATGTTCTGATAAAGAGGTGTGTCAGCCTCAACAAAGTCATGTCCACAAATATTTGCTTGTTGTACACAATACTACAGCTGGTGACTAGTTGATAGTGCACATTCCAAACTAACCTACTAATGTATTCAACGCCCTCCTCAAATATACAAGTGGGAAAAATGGTATTTCCGTGTGAAATGGCCAACTTTACAGAATTAAAATGTATGTTTACAGAATATACAGTGTGTGTGTTTGGGCTGTTTAAAATGCACCTTTTGAAGCATTTTATTGGATTATCAGACTACAATTAGCCAATGTGTCTGCACATTGTATCCTTACAGTTTATCAGTGCTACTTGTTAGTGTCACTACCCGATCCGTACCTGAAACCTGATCGGTACCACGCATGCGCAAATCTTACGTCACTTCCTCTCTTTGCCAAGTGACAGTTAATGTATTTGAGTGACACGGTTAGCGCCCAGTTAGCTCATAGCATTTCTCAACAGCTCTGCCTCCTTTTCGACTGCCTGGGACATTTAAACAATGGATAATTCGTATACAAACAAATTAATGCTTTTCTCCTCAACAGAGATCGTCCCACAATTGAACAACAGCGCCGTAAAGTATGAAGAATGGCGCCTAATTACAGACTTAATAATACTGACTTAGTAATATGTCACGTGAAGATTCATCAGTCAGATTAAGTGTTTAATGACAATTGACAGTGATAGCTGACATCATCATTACTATTCCAACAATCCTCTCTACACAGACAAGCATAAACACACCACTATCACTAAATCAAATTTAACACGCGTTTGTAATGATGCTAGTTCATTTTACAATAGGGCTCATTCGCTCGGTCAGCAGGTGGCAGTATCCTCATACACTGGGGAGTAAACTGCCATTAACCAGTAGGCACTTCCAGTAGGCACTTCACCCGTTGCCTACTGGTGGTGGTCAGAGGGCCCGGTGGCGCCAGTGTCCGGCAGCCTCGCCTCTGTCAGTGCGCCCCAGGGTGGCTGTGGCTACAATGTAGCTGCCATCACCAGTGTGTGAATGTGTGCGTGAATGGGTGGATGACTGGATATGTAAAGCGCTTTGGGGTCCTTAGGGACTAGTAAAGCGCTATATAAATACAGGCCATTTACCATTTACCATTTACCATTAAACAAAACAGAAGAAGAAGAAAACATTGCACATGGGCGGTATGGATCGGGTAGACCAATTTGTACAGTTCAACTTTGCACATGCTCAGTAAGGATCGGGGAGTCCTGATCCGTAACTGTCGTTTTATTTTTAGTTTTTGTCTACATTATATTGAAATATTTCATTATTGCAAACATTTTAAGTTATACTTATTATTCTTAACATCTTAACAGATACTCTGACCCGTAACTATCGTAAAAAGCTTCGGCCAGAAGTAGACACCTTTTGCACATGCGTGGTACCGATCTTGTTTCTGGTACAGATCGGGTAGTGACAGTTAGCCAAGCTTGCTAGCATTAGCTGATAAATTAGCGCTCTTTGCTTCTGGCAGGAAACAAAACCACAACAACAAAAAAAACATGGTGGCACCAAAACACTAGTGTAGCTTCAAATATGTAGTTAGCTCTCCATTAGTGGCATTAGCTATGATCATGTATGCTAGCTTGAACACTACATACATGCTGTGGTGTTTCTGTTCAGGAACTTTGACAATTCCATTTCTGTAGCAGCTTATGTTAGCATAAATTTTCAACCAGAAAACAGTTTGTCTGAACATTTACTAATGCTATAATGTATAATAGAATATATATGTATAATGATACATGTGTGTTTGGTGTGTATCTTTACACCAGCAGAAACCGCCTGATTAACACTTGCTCCTTCTTTTGCTCTTATGCGAGGCTAAGCTAATTGCCCCCAAGCATGTGAGAGTAGTCTGTCTTGTATTTGTATATGTATTTCATCAATTATGTAGTTAGCTTTTAATGGAGGTAGGTAAGGCATAAGTACAGATCCTTACATCCCATTCATCTTCCTTTTCTTTGTATTTTATTTCTTGCCTTCATTTTTCTTCTGTTTTTAGATAAATAGAACCAACACTAGAACCAACTGGAAGATTCAGAATCATGTAACGATCTTTCGTGTTTTATGTCAGAATTATGGTTAAATCATATTTGAATCAATCCAGTGTTTATTTCGACAGTTACTGCAACATTTTTCTAATTTTCATTACTGCTGGCCTCTTCCTGTGCAGCTACATCATTACAGCCTTTAAACCCTTACTTCTCTGTGTCATGGAGTTTGAAGCCCAATCCCAATGTCCACACTCTCAGACTTACAGAGTTTGAGTTGCGTTCCTGTTAAATCAGTCTGGGCTTATGTCTGTTCCAACCCCAAGTTTTTACGTACACGTGGGCTCTTTGGCAAACACTTTTGGTATGTCTGAATTTGTTGTTGACTTCGCAGATTTACCCACAGCTCATTGTGCTTACGTTATACATAGAGTTGCAGTTAATGCCTTAGAAATGCTTTTTGGGTAGGACAAACCTACCCAAAAGTTTAGCTTTTAGTAAAATATCTCAACAAAGATCTGTCAACCAATGATAACCAATATATTTGTCAATCAGCCAACAGTAAAGCCACATCCCCATGCCAATGAAACCATTTTCACATAACTTTTGCTTTGGGATTTGGTGCATGCTGGAAGAAGCCAAGGCCATAAAGGATGCACAACAATAGGCAGTGATAGTCTGTGAAGTTATTTCTTTTTGCACACAATATCAGACAAAATTACAGTTACCATGGTTATCTTCCAATTTACACAAAGTATAAAAACTTCAGCGAGGAAAGATTTCAGACTCTGAAAAGAAAACTTGTGAGAGATGTTTCTGAAGAGCCCAGAACATCTGCCAAGACACGATGACTCTCATAACCACTTTGGGAATTGTAGTCTCAAAGAAGACAACCACTAGAACCCTGCAGAGGTTACAGACCAAGAAAAACTGCTCTTCTGCAGAAGACACACCTTCAAACCACATTAAAGTATGCTAAGGATATAGAGAGAAATATGTCTGCTTTCAAGTCCCAGTGTAAAACTGGAACATCTGGGCTTCCACTGTATACCTGATGTTTCTTTTTCTAACAAAAACAAACTAGAAAACATGACTTACAATTACAGATACCATACAGCAGCCTATAAAGGTTAATATGTGGTTTAAATAATCTGGTGTTACATGCTGGACGTTCTTCCTCTGGGAAAAGTCAGCCAGTGCTCAGCTGCAGATATGGAACACCACGATTGTACATCATTGTGGATCATCCTCTGGACTGAGTGTATGCTAACTAATCTCTGTATAGTTTGAATATATATTTAAGGCAAATAATGTGGAATAACACTTTAATGTTAATGTCACCATTCACTAATAAAGGCAGGCTAACATTAATGTTAGTGTAATGAATAATCATGGTGGTAATGGTAGCAAAACAAAAAGAAAACAAACCCTCAACTATACAGTGGAAGGCAAGCTGTCCCAGTTTTACACTGGGACTTGAAAGCAGCATACATTTGTGGATTTGTGCGTTAAATCAGTCTCATGCGGCGTGATCTGTGCGCATCTGGTAATTCGCCACACGTTTTGTGAGTGAGCGAGAGATGGTACGTGTAGTTTTACACATTTTTGTGCACAGAAAGGTTTTTGAAAGACAAAATTATTGGATTTGTGAGCTGAGCAAAAGATAAATCATTGGACACATTCGTGAATCTTAGTTTATGCTTCATATCATATCGTCCATATTTGCAACTCTTTTGAGACATATTTCTTTCCATATGAGGACAACCTGGAGAAAGAGTATGCGTACTGGAAGCACATCCTTTGGTCAGATTTGATGAAACTAGAGCTTTTTGGCCACAGAGGTGTTTCTTATGTTTGGAGAAAGAAGGGAGGGATGCACAGCCCAAAGAAAACCCTCAGCACAGTGAAACACGGTGGTGGGAGTCTTACGCTGTGAGGATGCTTCAGCACATCTTGAACTGAGAAATGCATGAAGGTGGAAGGAATCATGAAGAAAGGAGGACGTAAAGATTTTGAAAGAAAGCCTCAAGCAGTCAGCAGTAAAACCAGGTTTGGATCAGCACTTTGTCCTTCATCATGACAAGTACCCAAAATATATGTCGCTCCTGGTGAAGCACTACCTCCTAAAGTCACAAAGCCCCAAGCTGCATCAACCTGCACTGCATTGAAAATATGTGGAGTGTGGAGAGCTCAGAAGTGTTTTTGAGACTACAGCAAATGACTGCAGACTGTTATCCAGCAAAAAAAGATACCAACAAGTATCTATTACCATCAGGGGGCTGATAATTAACGGCAGGGGGGAGGGGTGGGGGGTAAATAATTTTGCTTTTGTGTAAAAAAATAAAAATAAGGTAAGAATCCAAAATCAAACCTTCAAAGAGCTGTGTTTAAAAACCCTTGCTCTGTTTGACAGCACTTGGGAAATACTTTAGTCAAATACAATTTCAGACGATGGCTAATAGTTCTGGCCTCATCTGCACTGTTTATTGCTATTCTAACAACAAGATGACACATAAAGACTAATTGCTTTCATTAAACACATGCGCGCACACACAAAATGGTTTGTTTTTCACGTGTGAATGAAAGCCACATTTTTTTTTTGTAAATGTTTGACACATATATGCTGTTTGAATTCTGTACAAAGTCTGTTGTCCCCAACAAAATTAGCACATTTCAAAGATGATCTTGTCACATTCACCCAGCGCTACCCTCATTTCTTTTTCTGTCTCTCCCCAGCACCCTCCTTTTTGCCATTTCCTCCTCTCACCATCATTATTGAGGTCCATTTGTCTGAAGATCTTATCCGTCCTCTTCTCCGGCGTGGATTCATCCTCTGGCATCTTCATCACAGATGACACCATCTTGTAGATGGCCTGAGAGATGAGAGAGAAAAAGAAGGAGAGAGAGATTGGTTGGGTGGGCGGTGACAGGAGAACAAGAAAGATAAGTGAATTCAAGCCAGCAGGGACCCATTAAGGAGACTCAGCAGGAAAGAAGTAAAACATAACTGAACTAAAAAAAATAAAGTCACTGCAGCTTTCAAGATGCTGATAAACAGCCTTTCTGAAAGTCCACATGATTCACTGACATTTGTTGCTCCTGATGCTAAGAGCTGCTCCCTGGGCAGCTTTTCCACAAATACCCACGCAGTGTTTGTGCGCCTATAGAATCGCTCCATCGCGCCACGGTGACATGGGTCACATGTGGCAGCGGGGTAAAGGGACGGAGGGCTTACAAGCAGGGCTTACAATATTGATTTCATACATCTTTATCTGTTGACCGATATGAGCACGCCGCGTCCCCTGATAGCATTAAATTAACCTCTGCAAGAGAAGCTCCGAGTATCAGCTGGCCTCAGGCGCAGATCTAAAATCAGCTTACGTGCCTATTAAATCTCCTCCGCTGGGAGTATAGGGTGTAAAAGCAACTGTAGATCGGTGTCGCAGGAGCATCGTCACAGAGGCAGGGAGCTCACAGGAAATGAGCCCTCTGTGCTTTTTAGAAAGATACACTGGCTCTAAAATGTTATCTCCTCTGACTGTAAAGTCTCATGCCCACACCGTCCTTCAAAAAACTGTGGGAAAAAAATTCCAAGGAGAAAAATAGTGACAAAGGCATCAGGCACACAGAAATAATCAGGTATTTTAACTGCCCTAAGTTTGAGCACAGATGATTCAGCTATGCCATCATTAGTGTGCAACAACCCTTCATTTTCATGGTTGGCTCCTTTTATCTTTTCACCAACAATGAATGTCAAGCTAATGCCAACAGGTGTGCCAGGTGGCTCCCTGTAATGAGAGGTATCCTCAGATGTGCTTCCCAGGAAGGCTCACTAATGACTCGGGACCACAACAGAATCTGAAGACACAACAGCGATGACGTTATGTCCAAGATGTCTGTGGATTTTGCTGCAGAGATATCAGCTCAAGTTGAAATGGAGCCCAGCTGTACTCTTACTTTATACCATTTTAAGGGCATATTGTAGCATCCATCCATCATTAAGACAGACAAACAGCATTCAAACCAGCGTTAGCTCAATATTTGATTAATATTGTCCTAAGCTGACTTACTAAGGTAGCTAGAAAGTTTAAAAAAATAAAATAAAATGAACATAAGAAAATTAGTGAGAAAACAGGGTTTTGTGATACACAAGTTCACGGTTTGGGATGTGGACGTTATCCCTGCATTTGTTGAGGAAAACAAAAAACTTTAAACACCAGGGGGCAGCATTTTACAACTGACTGTGTTGAGATGAATGACTGTAGATGGTTGAGATGTTTTGATATTCCTCTTACTTCCTCCCGCGCTCAGTTTTTAATCGATTTGGCTGGTTACATTAAATATTATAGTGAGTCTTTGCACCATCTTGTGGTACAAAATGGTATTACAACTTTGGATTATATATCTTTAGCACGTTTCATGGATGTGAATATTAAGGTTTACACTAAAAAATAGAATTGATAAAAATCACATTTGGATTGAACTGCAGGTGTTTACTCAAATTCAGGTTATGAGTAAAGACGTGGACTCTAAAATATGAATTTCACAGAAAAGATATGTTGGAAGAGCAGTTATGATACTTGTTAATAAGTCACCCAATCTTAATTGTGCCAGAGTAGAAAAAGCGACTCCACCATAGCAAGGCCATAGTCTGTAAAGGATTCACTGAAGGCCACAGCTTGTTGCTTTTAAGATTCCCCACAGCAGATCATCTGAATATCTCAGCCTATCACTAACATCTTCCTCTGTCACACCAACCCTCTGGAGAGGAAGAGGCTCATTCCTGATGTAATCCCACCTCCATGTTGGTTAGTGTTAGGGTTAACTCCCTGCCACTCCTACCGCACACCTCACCAATGTCTTTGCTGTTCTCATACATGCACTGCACCACCCTCACATACATCTCTCCCTCCTGACACTCCTTAGCACCCTATAATCTGCTTTCTCTAGATGCACAAAGACACAGTGGAGATCCTTCTCTACACTTCTCCATCAACACTCTCAAAGCAAACATCAGATCTGTAGAGCTCTTTGTCAGTATGAAGCCACACTGCTGCTCACCGATCGTCACCTCTCTTCTCAACCTAGCATCAGCAGCTCTTTCCCATATTATCTTGGGCTGGCTCATCACTACTACAGCTCTGCACATGACACCTCTTGAAAATCCGTAGCAGCAGGCTTCTCCATTCCTCAGTTATCCTCTCACTCTTGTGGATTGTGTTGAACAATTTGGTTAATGAGTCCATCGCCCTCTGTCCCTCATTTCCTCCTTACTAATCCTCTGCACTTCCCAGTTCACCATCTTTCCCCATTCTCTCATTCATCAGCTCCTCAAACTGCTCCTTCCATTTTCTCAGCAAACTTTTGCTTGTTAGCAAATATCTATCTTTAATCACCCTGACCTGCTGCACGTCGTTTCCACCTCGATCTCTCCGTCTAACCAATCTGCACGAGTCCTTTTCTCCTTCCTGTGTGTCCACACCCACATACAACTCACAATATGCAAGAAATTGAAATTGTGGTTATTATGATGGACACCTCCATTGATCAGCAAAAGTGTAGAGCTTTTATTAATCTGATAATGTGGTGTAAAACAAATCTGACCTCAGTCATGACCCTTCCACTCTCCTGCTCACTCTCAGCACATAATGGTCCCCTCCTTTCCCTAACGGTGTGTAACCTCAGTGAGCCTGTAGATAATCCTAGCATTCTGCACACTCAGGGATAAACTCAAGTTAAATTTAACTTGCTAATCCATGAGAATCCAGAAGTGCATACACACACACAGAATACACAGCGAGATCCTCAGTCCAATATCTTGACATATGAGTCCTTCTGCTTGTTCTCTTCAACAGTGAAAGGATTAGATGCAGCACTACTTAACAGCCTTCCTGCAAACTGTTGCCTGTGCCAATGCTGCACTCAGGGTGCCTATTAGAGTAAGTTAATGCATTCATCCACATACTTAAATGAATGCATTAACTTACTTAACATAACTAATGGGAGTATTTATTAAAGGTGCTCTGTCTTTTCTTAGTATTGTATAAATCTCTGTGATTGGCTGATCAATACAAACTGTAATGTAGTTTGCACCATGTGCTAGATGAAAATTTGAAGGACCAATGGAAAGAACAAGCAGGAAAAAGCAAGAAAACGTACTGAGACTCCTGGTGAGATCAAATTAGTTATTCAAGAACATTCCTGTTTCAGTCGCATGATGTGTGTTTATGAAAAGGAAATCAGGTTTGGGGATTTAGAATTTGAAATGGACCATAAATCAAAGTGCTTTACTACTCTTACTGAGTGCTTTTTACTACAAGCTACATTCGCATAGCATGCCCACAGATCCATCACAGGCAATTTGGGGGTTGAGTATCACCTAACTGGTGGACGACCCGCTCTATATCCTGAGCTACAACTGCTACAGATAAGAAGGGATCTTCTACACATATGGCAAGCATACTGTAGAGTTTACATTAGTGATTTCATTCATGATTTAATGTACTCGGTTAGCTCGTTAACGCGTTGACACCTTGCAGCCCCACGCACGGGGTGATCCGCGGTAACTTGCTAACGGAGATTTGCCGCGGTTATGGCGTTAACGTCATTTTAACGAGATTAATGCTGACAGCACTAATATAAAGGCCTGCTAGGGAGATGACAAAGTATTTTTGCACAAGTATTTATATTATTTAGTGATGATACTAAGTGTCTGTGAGCTGCTAAGGCACTCTAATTCATGTTCGCAAACTAGGATGCTACTAATGATTCCAGTGTTACAACTTCAAAACTGCCATGGCTAACTTTTTATCTAGCCTGAGTTTCCATTTAAAGGGAGTTAATTAGCTTGTTGTTGGTTATGTGGTGGGGGAGATGCCACCAACATCAACTCACTATGCAATTAGGTAAGCGTATACAGTCAAGAGGTAAATGTGATGTGTGACCTAGCTAAATGCAGTAGATAGCACTGCAACAACAGTTTGCTTTTAAATGGCAGTAACCTTGTGGCCCTAATAAAAGTGTCATAATGAGCTATAACGGAAGGTTTTGAGAGAAATCGCATGGTCTACATGTGACAACCCCTCCACCAGCACCTGAGGCCAGAAGAAGTGTTTACTTCCACCAAAACTAACCAGCTTCCCTTGCTTACCTCTACAATCTCCAGCATTTCCTCGCGGCTGATATACCCATTTCCATCCAGGTCGTACATACTGAAGGCCCATTTAAGCTTCTGCTCCAGCTTTCCTCGTGACGTCACACTCAAGGCAATGATGAACTCCCGGAAGTCTATTGTCCCGTCAGCGTTGGTGTCAAAAGTTCGGAAGACATGCTCGGCAAACTTGGAGGCATCGCCGTACGGGAAGAAATTGGCGTAGATCTTCTTGAATTCCTCCACATTCAAGGTTCCACTGGGGCAGTCCTTCAAGAAACCCTGAGGTAAAAAAAAAACAGATATTAGGTGAGACAGGGTTCAAAATAAGACCTTTAACTTTTTCTTTATGTCTATAGAATAATATAAAACAACTCCAATTCCAATAAAGTTGGGACGCTGCATAAAATGCATTGAATTCTAGGTGATCAGTGTCTATTTTGGACTGCAGATAGGCCAGTCTAGTATTTGGACTCTTCTATTATAAAGCCTTGCTGTTGTAATAAATGCAGTATGCAGTTCAGCATTGTGTTGCTCATATATGCAAGAAGCCAGGAAACTAACATAACTTTTTCAAAACATCAGAACAGTCAGAGATCAAATTTCTCAATCAAAACTTTGAATAGTAACATTTTCAATCATTTAACTTCTTATTCTGATAAGAATGATTTTGAAAAGGAGCTTAGTCTTGGATCAGAAAAGCCAACGCTATCTTCTATTCAAGCCCTCACATTTGATAAAGCAGCATTGTGCCTGAGGAAAAAAAGGGAGGTAAAAGTCACTTCTATCCCTGGTCTTTGTTCAAAAGAAATAAAGCTCTTTTACAAAGACCTTTAAAATAGAGGCAATGAGGTAACAAAACCATTTCTGATGGCTGGGATTTCTACTCACAACTGGAGGGGAAAAATCAGCAGGGTTGTGCTCCTAATAAATATTTTTTAATTGACAGTGTTCAAAATTTCACTGTGTTTAGTGAAGCATCCAGCATCTCCCACACTCAGAAGCAGTTGATCTGCTGAGAGCTGTGACCACTGTGACAGGTCAGTGAGGGAGGGGCTTTAACTTGTACAACTCTTATTCAGGACAGCACGCACAGCTGTTCCATAGGTTTAACCCACGTGTAAAGCTCTGCAGCCACTACACATATATCCATGTGCATAAGATGAGATAACTTGTGAGGTCAGGTCACTGTGGCATTTCATAATGCTAAGCTCCCCACTGAATAAAGGACTGGGTTTAGACAGTGCTCTGTGGTGGACGGAGATAAGACTGCTGTCAGTGTTACAGATCACAGATAGAAACATGTCTGTACAGAAGACGCAAGGATGTCCTAACAATCGTGATATAAATCATAACTCTGCTGTGTGACATATTTGCCTAGTTTAGAACTTATTTTTACCAACAATGAAAGGATCCAAAGCGCTTTTGAAATGTTTGAAGATCAGGAAGATTCTGATTTTGGAGAAACAATAGGTAAAGAGACTTATTTTAAAACATGCAACTTTGATATCTGAAGATGATAACTCAAGCCATGCTGTTCAGACGGTAGTTAAAGGTGCAACATTGAATATTTTTATAACACCAATTGATCCGATTGTGCTGTGTCACATGCAAGGTGACGAATCTACTTAAATCGACCAGATTATTCATCTTTATGCTCCGGGTTATTGCTTTTGTTAGTTTGCTAATGCGTTCAGCTATCAGGGGTGGGCAATCTCCGTCCACGAGGGCCGGTGTCCCTGCAGGTTTTAGATCTCACCTTGGGTCAACACACCTGAATCACATGATTAGTTCGTTACCAGGCCTCTGGAGAACTTCAGGACATGTTGAGGAGCTAATTTAGATTTAAATCAGCTGTATTGGTTTGAGGACACATCTAAAACCTGCAGGGACACCGGCCCTCGTGGACTGAGATTGCCCACCCCTGAGCTAGTTGCTAGCTAGTTGTGTTGCTCCCAAATAGCCAAAGAATCTGACAAAAATGGTTGTGTTATCAGCTAACACTAGCAAGCTTAGTTGGCATTGTATGAGTAGATCGTACAGATACCTGGTATCTGTGTTTAAGCCAAGTAACATATCCCACGAAGGTTGATTCTGTTCATCTGCATGTAGCATTTTCAATCGGAGAAACGTTTCGTCGCTCATCCAAGTGACTTCTTCAGTCTTAGCTGACTGCAGGTTTCCCCAAGTACATTTGCACAATAACTGAAACCAGCCCACTGAAGGCTGAGGAAACCTCAGATCTGGATCTGGTCTTTTATCAGTTCCCAGAGTCAGAACCAGACACGGAGAAGCTGCATTCAGCTTTTATGCTCCTTATATCTGGAACAAACTCCCAGAAAGCCTCAGATCAGCTGAAACACTCAGTTTATTTAAATCCAGGTTGAAGACTCACCTGTTCTCAGCTGCATTTGAATAAAGCACCAAATCCACACTTTTAAGCTTAAATTTCAAAACTTACACTAACTACTGATCTTATCTATTTCTGATTTTATCTGTTTTGATTTTATATACTGTTTTGTTTGTTTGTTAAGCTTAAATTTCAAAACTTACATTAACTACTGATTTTATCTACTGTTCTGATTTTATCTGTTTTGATTTTATATACTGTTTTGTTTGTTTGTTTGTTTGTTAAGTGGGTTTAGAGCTCTGGGTAGCTCCCCAGCTGGGTCTAGACTGGGTCTAGAGAGTATTTTAAATTCAGGGAATTTAAAATAGAAAGTAGCTCGTCCACAGAAGGACTGGTAGCTCCCCTTACGATAAGGGTTCAGATCGCGCGAACAGGTGTGAAATGTGTGTGTTTAGTTAGTTTGTTTGTTTGCTTGTTTTAATCAATTTTAAATCATGCTTTTTATTTGTTTTTGTTTCTAATGTCTCTGTAAAGCACTTTGAATCACCTTGTTGTTGAATTGTGCTATACAAATAAATTTGCCTTGCCTTGCCTTTTGGGATTTGCTTACATGGATGATCGAGCATGCATCAAGATATCCCACGATCGAATAAAAGATTGTAAGTCAACAAACAACACAGGATCATGGATTTGTTGGACAATCTGTCTGTATAATAACCAAACTGAAATCCATATTATTTGCTGGATAACTTCAGTGAATATGCTCCAAAAGGCACCGACACCACAAATAAGAGAATTTAAGAGAGATAAATTGCCTGAGGTGAGCACTATTCTGTAACTCAAAGTTGCCCCACCCTCATTAATAGCTAACATTTATTCCTGTATAATGTTAAATGGAAGAACTGAAAAAAAAAAACCCCGCCTGCACAGTTGCCATATGCAGAGAACCTGGGCAGTTTATTTCTGTACTAAAGTTGAGCCTCAAGCCTCAGATGGCCGTTTGAGAAACTGCAGTTTTTGGTTCTTTGCTGTTGGCTTCATCGTACGGCTTTATAAACATCTATGCCAAACGATACCTCTTATAGTTATATTAGTATTACTGGTCCATTTTATGTAGATGCCATATAAATACCAGATCTGTCATTATATACAGTTCAATATAAATCTGCAAAACAAAAAAATACAGTATTTCTCTTAGAAGTACAGTAGTGTAAGACTACAGTTATAATATAGTACAGTACTGTGCAAAGGTTTTGAGCCATTCACCATTTCTTTTTATTTTCTGCATTCCTTCTCATGCAGCAATTTATTGTAGCATGTGGGAACACAATTAGAAATACAGTATTTAAAGCTTTAAATTTAAAGTTTGTATAGTTTTAATGAGCTTGAAAGTCAATATTTGGTATGACTAGCCTTACTCTTCCACGCAGCTTGAACTCTCTTAGGTCAGCTTCCTTATCATTTTATCAAGTATCTTTGGGAATAGTTCGTCAAACCCTTTGAAGGACAGTCAAAGCTCTTCTTTAGATGTTGGCTTTTGTTCTATTGTCTGTTAGGATGATCCCACATTGCTTCAAAACATTGGATTTTTGGTTCTGGGGAGGCCAATCCATGACTGAAAGTGTTCCATTGTGTTAGTTCTTCTACCAGGAAGGATTTTTACTGTATTGGCAGTTTGTTTATGATCATTGTATGCTCTAAAATGAAGCTGTGGCCAATCAGACACCTTCTAGATGGTACTGAATGGTGGATCAAAATCAGATAGTACTTTTCCATCTTTTCCATCATCATCCAAAAGATCCCTGACACAACTGTCTGAAATGCAGCCCCAAACCACGACAAAGCCTCCATCATGTTTTACAGATGGATGCAGCCACAGACTATCTGTACCTCTATCCTGACCTCCTCTGTACACATTGATACACAAAATACAGCTAAAGAGCCAGCTGTAATCTCTCAGGCATCTCAGGTCCTGTGTCAGGTCTTTGCTGGATTTTGTTCTGTTTCTTAGGGATGTGACTTTCAGATACTGTTCATCTACTGATCTGCGGTCTGTTATGTGTAGACACAACACAGGTTTGGTGCCTTTAGGTGGCATTAGGTGCCATTTTATCCTAGAATGAATCATACGTCAGGGTTATGTGGCTCAACAAACAAGAGAAAGCATTCCTGTGAAAATGAGTCAATGTCTAAAGAAAAACTTTGAACACCTTCAGAAAGCCTGGAGAACTATTGCTCAAGACCACTTTAAAAATTTACAATAAAGTCTTGCTCCTTGGAAGGAGAGTATAAAGAGTTGAAGGCGGGCTCGAGACTTTTGCACAGTGTTCAGGGTGTGAATTGTGCACCTTGTACCACTCCTGCAACTCGTGGTCGGAGAACTCGGTATTCTCACGGAGATCCTGCAACACCTCTGGCCGCAGTTTGCTGTTCTGTTTCCCCATGGCAACGGGATGGGACTTTGGGTTTCCTTGACAACAACAGCGACTACAGCACTAGCCAGGCTGCTTTTCACACCTGTCAATCAGAGATAAGGAAACGGGAGGTCAGCAACAATTAAGAAGAGAGGAGGGTGAACTCGAGTGACAATTGAGAAGTGCAAACAGCGCAACGTCACCAAAGCTGCTCGGCAACAGACGAAAAAAACAAAAACAAAACATATGAGGGATTAGAAGAGAGGGTTCGCACAGTTGACTGTCGGCTACAATTAAAACCAGCAGCTGCTTTCTGCTTGAACAAATAAAATGATCGGGCAAACCATGGAACAGTAACATAGACACTTCCAAACAGACAGCACAGCTTTGCAACTCACACAAAGTCTTTTAATGGAATCAAAGCAAGCCTTGTGACGGTATTGTGTCCCAGTCCGTTTGACACGAGATGTTACGCAAGTCTTTAAACTGCCGCATCACAGTCGCAAAACGTTAAATAATCCTGAGCGTGCCCCGGTGACGTCAAGCGCTAGCCCACTGATCACATTTTTATGGGATTATTTAGCCAGCTGCGTGTCTGTGTGTCAAATCAGCCGTGTGGTGTGTGCCTTCAGATCTCCTAATCTTCATGTCAGATCAACCTGCTGCACAAAATGCGATTTCAATGATTCAACTAAACAATAAAACCATTACTATGAAAAGGAGTACATCACTTATATAAAATCCGATTCATTTACTTATTAATAATGTAATGAAGGTACTTTGGAGGCAATTTGGACATTGCAATAGTGGTTAAAGATTAAATACATAGAGTAAGAGATTTTAACAGTACGAAAAAAACTAAATATACCTTAAATTGCCACCAATTAGGGTTGAAATGCAGTGGTTGCCTCATTTAAAATGATGTCTTTGTGGTATTTCTTGTGGTAGAGCTTTCTATACAAACATTTATATAGTTCTGCACTGTAACATCTTTCAGTAAAAAAAAAAAAGGTCCAACAAACTTGTGCTTGTTAACTTTGTTTCCTTACTTTGGACCACTAATTAGCTTGTGCTCAGCCATCAAAGTGTTCTGTGACTTCTGTGTGTGTGGCAATGCAAATTAAAATTACAGTATCAGTCGGGCTTGAACACCTCTGACGAGACGCTTCCTGACCTCCACTTTCTCCTCGGTTGAGCTCGGTAATTACGCCGTCAGCTTTTCGTGTATGTGCCCAAAGAAGCAGGAACAAGCGCGGGCCTGTTTGTGTTTACGTGACCTCTACAAAGTCAAAGTGAGCTGGTGGGGCATTTGAGGTGGACGGCGTGGTGTTTATCACTGACTGGCGAGAGCTGCACCATCGCAGAAGCGAAACCCACGCACTCAACCATCTCTTTACTCGGCTAATAAAATTAGGCTTTACTGTAAACGCTTGAGCACTGACAGTAATTCTTGTAGTCAGTCCCCAGTCTGCTGACGCTGGAACTGCAACCATCAGTTATGAGTCCTTCCTGTTTGGGGTCTGGTGAAAGTTGCAGAGGGAGGACTGGGATGTGACGGAGGTTGGGATCGTGTCGTCACCAACAAAGTGCATTATGGGACCATTGTTCATGCAAATCCAAGTTGAAAAAAAGCAAATACAGAGACTGAAGATGCTTTTGGGTCATCAGAATGGTGAACTGCTGTGGCACAGCCATGTTTTACAGAGTGGAGGAAGACTTTTGCTCTGGTCATGAAGCCGACGATGTACGGCTTGAAGACATCGTAGGGATTTTACTACATTACAAATGTGGCAGTTATATGTAGGCTGTAGCTACATGGTGGTATGGCTTGAATCAAACAAAAGCTTTATACTTTCGTGTTTTAAAACTTCTGCAGTCCCGAGGTTTTGAGTGAACACCAACATGGTGGCAGCTACCCAGAATGCACTGCAATTTTCGACCCTTTGCCAGCTGTCAGAAAAATGCAGTTTACTTGGCGCAACGCCAGTGTTTCCTGTCAACTTCACACCTTGGAGCTGCTTTGATTCTGAAGGGCGTCAGGTTTTGAAGGTTATTTTAGAAACACCTGAGGACCAGTGCTTTCTTTTTGTTTTTTCCCAGAAAAGCTTGTTTCAAATTTTAAGTCCAGGATGTTTTTAAATAGTTTGAGTGATCAAATTTTCCACACACAAACCTTTGATTTTTTTACTCTGAGCAGAGTTCAGTTTGTCTTAAACATCATGTGCAATCCAACCACAAAGACAGACATAAATCTATTTCTCCTCAAGGAGTAACTGGGTGGTGGTGCCTGCACCGCTGAAGGCTATATGTGAAATGAGTAGGTAGTTGCTGTAAACCAGTAATTTACGTTTTAGCTGAACAGACCGAGTGCACCGTTGTGCCTTGGATGAGCATTTGGAGAACACACACCCATCGCGCACTCACTGATGCACACACTTTTTAGTTCCTGTAACGATTAATAATTCCTTCCCACGCTGCCCAAATGTGAAATTTAATTGTTGAGACAAAGGTGATTAAATAACAGCAACAAAGGTTTCCCGATGACAAACAGAAACAGTCAACCTCTGCTTCAATTAGCCACGAGGGTTGCTTCCACATGATGTCTCTGTGAAACGCTGCAGATGATTTGAGCTGATATCTAAACAAAACAAACAAAAAGTGAGTGAGTTTGTGAAGACCTGCTAAAAATGTTCACATCAGGATTTTTGAGAACCTTTCGCCACATGTAGCCACAGATCCTCAGATCATGGGATTTTCCTCTTCTCATGGAGGTCCAGTGCAATTATTGTTGGTGGAATGGCTCAGAATGGGAACCACAGCTGCATCCTAAGAGCAAGCTCATCCAGCTTTTGAAGTAACTGACTTAAAAAAACAACAAACAAACAAACAGTTACCTTATAAGGACTTTACTTTAGGCATGTGTTCTTCGTAGTCACGCTCAAGGCCTTTACACACCGGACACAGAAAATATTTTGTGTGTTAAAGAAATGTTGGGGCCTCGACTATTCTCAATTCAGCCGCTCACACCACCTGAATAATTTTGATGTGGTCCCACCTCTACTGAAAGTGAAGAGCTGAAAGTGCCCCACTCACATCCTGAAATGTGTACAAAAGCAGCCGTCATACAGCTTCAACTCTTCAGACCTCCCCGTTGCTGCCTTCTGCTGAGAACTGAACCTCCATTTCTTCCTTTTCTAGTTTTGAAATATCAGGACCAGCTCATAATCACTTGATGTTTACTTCCTTTTTTTTCCCACAATGCAGAAATGCAATCCTTTCCATGTGTGTATATCTTATACAACATATTATATGTTACAAGTTCACATATGAAAAAATCTGGAATGTCATGGCGCTTTTTTGCAATCTGCTCGGCTTTTAGATCTGAGTCTTCACAACAAATAAGATTGTTAGCATTGTGTATTAAACACAATGTGATCTTTACAATCATATTTTATATTATTTCATCAAGACCATCCCTAAAGCTCTAACAAAAATGGCTACTGCCACGAGTCAGTCAGATCCTGTCCTAAAGACTCAATAATGCAAAGTGACAGCCTGACTGACAGTGCTCTATGCTACAACTGCACAACAAAACCTATTCTAGCACACTGACCTTTTCTGTGAACTCACAACTCTCTTCTTTCCCCTTAGAATTGTTCTTTAACCAAGCTGTGATCCACAACAACTCTGTGTGCATGTCAGTCGGTCAAAGAAGCCACAGCCACAGTTATTTTAATCCCAATCTAACTCCCAAACCCAATCCCTACTGTCCCTTTATTGCTTATCCTTCCATCCTGAAACATGAAAAAAACATTAATCCATCTCCCCAGTTTAAGTGCCCACTGCTTGTTAGTTGCTGTTGTCAGGCCCCGTCATAAGTCCATACGCACACATACACAAACCCTGTGAACATCTGTTTCAGAGCTGCTAAGCGGGTCACTGACTTCTACCCTGATGATCTTCGCATGGAGAAAAGAGAGAAAGGCAGGCGAAGAAGAGAGACAAAGCTACACAGACAAATGGCTTAAGAACAAAGACAGGATCACAGAGAGAAAGGGAAAAGAGGTGACAGAAAGTCAGATCTGTGGATTTAGAGGTGCTACCAAAACTTATTACAGTATCTGCAACTGTGTTTTTTCCAAGTACCTTCCTGAAAATCCAAAAACACCATTTCAGAGCAATTTCAGAGCACTGCAGTCTGACACTCTCACTAATTAAAAAGAAATGTGGTATTTTTGAGTAAACACAAAGCGATTCACTCATTATACGTCCCTTTGTAGCTGATGTATGGTTCATAGTAGCCCCTCCTGTTTAGGTAACAGTCTAATGTCTTGATAACTTCACATCACCTAATGGCCCATTTCTTTAAAAGCTTGGTACTTAGTTTGCTGTTGCTTTGCTGTTTTAGAGGGAGTCTGATTGAGGTGTTGAAGTGATCTCGCCGCATTCAGCAAAACGTACAGTTCAAAGCTAGCTAGCTCGCTTGGCTCAAGAGCTGGAGGTGGGGGATACAGACTAACCAAACCATGCAAATCCCATCGAACAAAGTTGTGTCAACAAGTTAGCTGCCTTGCTAATGTTAGCGACATACATTGCAGTATTAATGAATCACATTACTGGGTTTCTCAGTGTTATTTATGCTTATGTTGAATTAATATTAAGTTAGCTGTTGATGCTAAAGCTCTATTTACCATTTTATTGTTGTTTGCTTTTATGTAATTGGAAAACTAATATGATAAGTTATTTTTCGTAGCATTCACGATTTCAGGCATTTATGTAACACATGTAGAAAAAATGTCTCCTCTGGGCCCTGCAGGCGTTCCCAGGACTGTGCTCTTCTGGACAGAGATACCAGATGTTCTTCCTGGGATTTGCTGGAGCCACTCGGCTAGCTTGTTACCTTCACCCTCCACATCTTCTCGAGCTCTTCTCTGAGTCCTTGGTACTTCTCCAGCTTCTCTTGTTCCTTCTTCCTGATGTTGCTGTCATAATATGCTGGCCACTTGGTTATAGCGTTCCATGAATGCCCTGCCTGCTAGCATCTTGCACATTCAGTGGGGCAAAAAAGTATTTAGTCAGCCACCGATTGTGCAAGTTCCCCCA